GAAAACGCTCTCCATCTTCTCTACCAATTCAAACGCTTCCCATCTTCTAAAGCTTTAAGTTCTACTCCTTCAAGAAGCTTTCCCATTTTTCCAGTCTGCAAGGATCTTTTCTGAATTCCTTTAATATTGTCTATGCAACCAAATACATAATGACTTACACCATCTAATTATTCCCGTTAAGCATTCTTATCTTCTCAACAAGACTAGACCACTCAAAAGATTAGAGATTATATCTCCACATTTCTACTGGCTGGTTTCAAATAGCTCCAACTTAATTTGTACAAGATGGAATTGTACTCTTTCAAATGTGTCTCCTCCTCTCAAAGGATTCTCCATTTGTTTAATGGCACCATCGAAATGAAATCCAGGCAGCTGTCATTAAACTGCCCTCCCATCCAATCAATTTCCATGACTCATTGGTTCTAACTCTGAAACAGCTCTTGAATTTATCTACCTTTTCCTACTCCACTGCTATCATTTTAGTCTGTTACCTTCATCCCAAGACAGTTTTTACTACGGCCTCCCTCCTTCCATTACATTTCTCATAAAGATCACACCAACCCTCTGCTGAAAATCCTTCAATGATTCCTCACTATCCTTGCAATGAAAACAGCCTTCCATTACTATGCAACTCCAGCCACATCCGCCTTCATTCAGTTCTTCCAATGCCAAGTTCTGCTTAGTCTTAGGGACTCTGTGCATGCTGTTTTCTCTTAATGCTCTTCAAATTACTATTTCCTTCTCAACCTTCAGATCTCAGCTTCAATGTTATTTGCTTAAACAGGTCTTTCCTGACATCCTTTTAAGAGAAAGTTTTGGAATGTCTTTTATACTCTTTTGTGCTTGGCACATCACAAGTGCATAGGATTCTTTCCACTTTGATTTTTTCATTGAGGCTGCTTAACTTTTTGCTGTTTTGCAGTACCTCCTTTGGTGGTCCAACTACAGACCTGACACCTGAGTTTGCTGTCAGGTCCCTCCTATTATTAGGTCTCTTTCCTAATACTCTATTTAAAATATACTTCTTATTACAGTTTGTAATTATCGATTTGTGAATACTTGTCTAGTGCTTTCTCTCAACAGACCATAAGCACAAGGGCTATATTAGGATACCAGTCCATAAAGGAATTAAATTATTGTGTACTTGCAATGACTTCTTCCTCCACCCTCACTTCCCAAAGCTTATTCTCTCAGTTCAGGTACTATGTAGCACTGTCTGCAAGACACTATATTGAAGATACTACCTAAATGTAATCTAATTTCCAAAAGAAACATTCACAAACAAACATATTTCAGCTAACAGGAATATATAAATTTTTGAATGAAGATCAAATAGTCTAATGCCTATTGATTTATCAATTTAGCTATACATATATATTTTAAAAATCACAAAATATATTTAGGAATTTCATTATTTTTCCTACTTTCATTGAACAAAACAATTTTCCTGAAACTGTTCACATATATCTTTGACATCAACAAGGCCTTTTTATTTATTTTGTGTGTGGGGGGGTATCTAACACAATTTTCTTGAATATACCACCTTTGATTTTAAGTTACCTGAAATATGGTACTCTGAATCCATGTCAGATGCTGTCCCTGTACATCTTATCCCAAGCCAAAAGTATTCCTTCGTGATCTAATGATCTCTAAAACAATATCAGGTATATAGTACCCACTTATCATACTGCTTAATAAGGTGATTTTTACAAGGCTTGTTTACAACTTTATCCAACACCTCTAATTGTGAAGCCCTACCTCTAGGAATAATTGATAAATCTATTAAAATGTCTTTGCTTTTTTTGATCAGTTTCATCAGGTGAACTGTACCAACATCCGAATCCAAAGTAGCACTGATTGAAGTCACTTAGAAAAGTGTCTTCCTCAGTTATATTAAAAATATTTGACAGAATTTCTGCCTTATAATGGGAGAGATTTTTGTAAAGACTCAAGAGGTACCAAAGTTTTGCCACCCCAAAATTTGTCTTTTAGGATATTGATTTTAGGCTGGTTACTAAGAAATAAAAGACTCAGAACCTTTTGATTCTCCCCATTTACCTGCCTAAAGGAATTTAGTTAGATAGAAAAAGGAGGGGAGCATCACCTTAACATCACAATAAAAACTAAATGTGGCAAAAAGTGAGAAACTTATCAAAGCCTGTTTGTTGAGCTTCCTTCTGTGTCCCATTGTTTCTGGATGGCCCAGCAAGAATCTGTTTACCACATTTGCTCTAACTTGCCTACCTGTGAATTGCCTGCCTACTTTTCCTTTGAAATCCCAGATGCCTGCCCCGCTTCACCTTTGTCCAAAATGGCATATAAAAAAACCCTCAATTGCCCTATGTGTCTTCAGGTCTCATTTTTATGGCACGCCCTCATGTACATCCATAATAAATTTTGGATGTTTTCTTCTGTTAATCTGTCTTGGGTTACTCTGATTATTAGCCCAGCTAGAAGAACTTAGAAAGTGGGGAGAAAGTTAGTTTTTTGCACTCCCAAAGACAACAAAATGAGAAATAATTTAGAGAAGGAGCTTACATTTAGGCTTACATGGTATATCAGACTGACTATGCCATGTTAAAACTTGAAAGGAAAAAAAAAGCAGAAAACAGTTATTCTCATTTTTTCTCTCAACTTTTTCCTATGCCTAGCAATGCCATGAACCTTGAGGTATCCCAAGATAGGAAACAATTTTCCAACTTACTCTCATTCCTTTGCATACACAATCACCCACACTATTTATGTTTTTTAAAGAAACATAGATAGCATCTTATTTATCTGTCTTATTTTTATTCTCCTTCTTACTAATTTCTTCCCAGTATAGCTAAAGTTGCTTGTTCCTGCCAATGCTCCAGACCCCTTCTTGAATGGCTTCTTCTAATACTATAAATCGCAACCAAAATTTTCACCTATCCATATCCTAATACTTCTTGCCATCATCCCCAAATCTAATGGACAAAGGTTGTGTGCAAAAAACCCAAGCAAACCAAATTTAACTTCTAAGCCTTGAAAATACTTAAGTGCATCATTACTGACAAGAGTATTTTAAGGAAAAAGAGGAATTCTGAGGGGTACTACATATTTTTCTTCTCCATGCTTTTATACAAGTTGAAATTATTATTAAATACTGGTTATAGGCTAGCAATACAACTAGTTTATCGATAATTTTAGAAGGCTTTTGGGGCCAGAGAAGGCAAATGTATCAATTATTAAGACAAAATTACAAGAATATGAAACAGAAATTAAATAACTTGAGTGATCTACTTACCGTTTAAGGTACAGATAGCAACTTTTAATTTCATGTTAGGCCTCGAAAAAAAAAAATCTTAAAAGGTACTCTTTACTAGTAAGAGGAATTTGAATTTAATAGCTTTGGAAGCACTGGTACAACCTACAAACAGGTAAATTTCCTAAGATGGACTCCCACATTATACTAATTCAAACAATAATAGCTGCTACATGTAAAGAGTTGCAGAAGAAGCCAACTAGCAGAAATTGGTATTTTAACCTGTGAAGAAAAATTAAGGAAATCTAGAAGTGGTGATGTATTAAAATATTTACTGTATGCTATCACAGGCCTATTAAGGGTAATATGAATTAATTTCTAAAATCGTTGCTAACTTCGAAATAAAGAAAGTCCATGACTTGATGACAGTGGTTGATAGAGGTCAACTCTCCTAATCAAGTCAAAAAATCAAATGGTGGGTTGAAAGTCTTCCAGACCTGGTCCCTCACCAAGGGACAAAAGATTCAGTTCCTTCAGATGGCAGGGGGAAAATGACTTGGCAACGCATCCACTAAGGTTTCCTCCATGCCAAAAGAGCACTGTGCGTCAAAGCATACCTTGTTGTGGTAGCGACAGTGAAATGGATGGAAAAACCATTATTAGTCTTTCGTTTCCTGAACGCCTTATAAACATGCACTGAAACACTCTTGATCCCCATCAGAGGCCATGGAAAAATCCCAGATTTGCCGTGTCCACCCTTCCCCTTCTATAGGTGCTTGCCCCTCAGCAGTGGGCCTTGGAGTTCTCTTCTTAGATCATTGTTCGGTGAGAAATTCAATGAGTGAGAAAGCAACGTGGGCTAGTAAGTCTGTTACCAAAATAGAAATTAGTATTAAAAATACCGATCCCTCTACCCTCTCAAATAAAACAAAAACAACCCCCTCCCCCCACGCAAACTTGCCCCACCATTATGAGGATCGTACAGCTCTGATCAACTGTGATTCCCAATCATCCTTTAGGTAACAGAGCACCTGGGGCGAGTTTTCGCAACCCCCCTCCCTATCTCTCACCCGGGCCAGGGCCAGGGCCCTAGACTGACAGGAGGGGCTAGCCGGACGTCGGCTCGGAGTGGAAGGGAGGTATTATCGCCCAATGCCGCTCACACTAGGGGCAGAAGTAACATACGACCAGAGGTAACACGGCTTAGGTTGTGGGTAAGGCCTCAGAACTGACGAGAAGACAGGCAGGACCCGGCATAAGGGGAGGCGGGAGAAGGAGCCGGGCCTAGGCCGCACCAGGCCGCGGGGTGGCCATACGCGGCTTCCCGACTGGGGCTGCGAGCCAAGCCACAGGGAAGGACGTTATCATTACCTGGACGGGTTCCTGCAGCACCGTCATCCTTGAGGCTCAAGCCCACTTTCTGCAGTGCCTCAGGCCCCCCCCGTAGCGGCTACGGCCCGGCCAGCCCCGGCTCATTTAAACTCACCAGCGACCGTTACCGGGGGATGGGGGCGGCCGAGCGACTGCCGAGCACCTCCGAGCGGGACACGGAAATACCCGAAGTGGAGAGGTCCGCGCGGAAGACAGACGGAAAAGACCGAAGGAGGCCGGAAATACACGAGGTGAATCGGCGGAGGAGGAGACCGTTGCCGGAATTTGTCGAGGATTGCCGGGGACTACCGAGTCTGACCCAGCGCGCATGTTCCTCTTCTCGGCCACGCCTTTACTCACGTACGCCACGCCCAATTGCCACTCTTGGCTGAGCCACGCCCAATCGGCAACTAGCAAGCTGGGCGTGCGTTGCCGGAGCGGGCGGGGATCGTTACGTGGCCCGGCTGCCGTCTCTATTCGCCACTCAACCTTTCTGGATTGATTGGTGCGTGGTAGAAGCAAAGGGTAAAACTCGAGAGTTTCGGGCTGACTTTAATTAATCAGGAAATATTTGTCTATTGAGTTTAAGTCATTCATCCATTCTAGTAATACCTGTTCATGGCTCAGAGAGAAACAGGAAATTTAAAAGATTGCCATCCTCCAAAATTTTAGTATGGCACCTGTCCTCAAGGAGATTAGAGTCTGTTTAAGGGTAAAACAACGTAACGAAGTGCTGCTACATTATGTGGTGCTCATTTTAAGTGATGTAAAATTTCAGAGAGGGAAATTAGTTGGGATTAAGATGAGAAATTTTTCACGGAAGAAAAAAGGGGGACATTGGGCTTCGAAGGATGGTTGGAATGAGAAGAAAGGAGCGTGTAAGTGAAGGGAAACAGAAATGAGATCAGTCTGGTAAGAGTTAAGGCATTAACTGGAAATATTAGGTAATCAGACCATGGAAAATCTCGGAAGGCAGGCAGAAATTTTTATTCTTGATAGGAGAGGCATTCTGGTGTGTTGAAAAGAGTGTGGGATTGGAAAGCCGGAGGATTGCTTTTGAATTTAATCTCCAGCACAAACTAGTTTTAGGTCCTTAGGCAAGTTACAGCCTCTCTGAACTAACTTTAGTCTGGAAAAAAAAAATGATCAAGAGAATCAAATACATTAATGTACATGGCTCTAACAGACGTAGTAGGTTCTCTCAAATTTCCTTTCTGTTCCCTCCCCCCAAAAATGTGTGAACCAGAGAACTGGTAAAACTTTGTTTTTCAGTAGATGAGGAAAACAGTTTTTGAAGGTTAATTTTCTAGTCATAATATCTCAAAGCTAGATGTGGTAGTCATGGTATATGCCACGGCTTGGAAATTTCCCTTTCTGATTTTCATATTTTATGCGAATGAAAGCAAGTTAGAATGGGTCACTCTCTTCCTTTGGGTGCTATTGGAGGGAGTTTTTAGTTTTTTGTTTTTAATAAACACCAATTGACAGCTATATCCTCCACGAGCCATCTGCAGTCACTGCTTATGTAATTGTAGCCCCATAAAAGGTAGGTGCAAAGATGATTTTCTGCTGCCCTGTGCCCTGTTCTTTTAGCAGGGTTATACTGGATGAATTAGAATGGGAATAGTCTTCTACACTGTCCAGTACGGTAGCCAGTAGCTATTTAGAGTTTAGTTAAAATCAAGTGAAATTAAAAATAAAGTTCTTCAGATGCCTTAGCCACATTCCAAGAACTTAATAGACGTGTGGCTAGTGACTCCCATATATTGGATAGCACAGATATAAAATATTACATCATTGGTCTGACTGAGACTGAAAGTTCCAAGATTCAAGAACTCACATATTTGGAACCTGGTGCTGGCTGCAACCTTGGTCTCTCATCGGTCAGTAGTCTAGCCCTAGCTTCTTGACTTGGTGGCTGGCAACCAAGAGGGTGAAAATGGAAGCTGTGGGACTCCTTAAGGCATAGGCTTGTAAGTCAAACCTCATCACTTCTTTTTGGTTAAGACACAGAGCCAGCCAGCATTCAGCTAGGGGTGACATAGACTCCACCTCTTGTGAGGAATGACTGAATGACGCCACAAAAGGCATATGTGATGGGAGAATTTGACAGTTGGGCTGTCTTTGTAAATCTACCAGTTTAAGATGAGAGAATCTGGCAGTGGAAATGGGAAAGGAGGGATAAGATATTACTCTTAAAATTTGATACATTTAACTGAATACAACACTTTAGATTTATTCTAAATAATTCAGAATGCAGTAGGGTTATTGTTTTTATTATCTGGACAATCCTATTAAAGTAGACCAAAGTTGTATTTGCATTTTTTGGCAGTCACATGACACTTTGTTCATGCTAAGTTTGTGTTCATTTTGCGAACATAGCTCTTTTCCGCACAACATGCTGCCAACCCCAGTCTTGTACTTGCGCGATGGATTCTCATAAATGTAAATGTAGGAACTTAAAACACAGGATACATGAAGATGATATTTGTGTGTGTGTGCAAATGTGTATCTAGAGTCAGCATTTAAAGAATCTGTGATGCTTGGCACTCTGGCTCTTCAGCTTAGAATTTGCCTGAAGCTTTTTTTTGTCCCCTAAAAAGAGGCATCTCTTTTTTCACTGTTGCTCACTGGGCTAATACATCTGTGGTGGTTTTCTACTCATCCAGAGCAAGGCCATATAGTTTGAAGTTGTTCTTTGATAGGATCTTTTAGAGGATTTTTACTTCTTCCTCTGTTCCTGATTGACCTGCTTAAACTCACCATCCAGCAAGCATATATGTTAACTGGTGAGTGGAGTTGGGTAACAATAAGCCTTCCAAATATAGTAAATTATCTCTTCCCTTTAACTTGCCTCTTAGTCTGTTTCATGTTCAATCAGAATTGGGAGCCAGCATTTAGGAAACTATTCAAGAAGCTAGACAGGGTATCTTTGGCAAGGTGCAGGTACCACAGAAGCATAGCCCAGAGTAAGCTTACTCTTCTTCTGATTCCTTTAGTCCTCCTTATCTGTACCCTTCTTTTGTCTCTGTTTCGTTTTACTCTTTATCCTCCTTGTATAACCTGACTTCGAAGCTCTTCCCCCTGCTCCCATTTTTGCTCTTTTTGTTAAAATTATCCCTTTACTTTGGCATCTCCGATAACACAGTCTCCTGGTTCTCCTTCTACTGCTCTGTTCATTATCACTTTTCCTTTGCAGGTTCTCTAATGTTAGATAGCTTCAGGGATCTGTTCTAGGCCTTCATCTCACCCCACATGTTCTTACTGGGCAAATCTATTCATTCTTATAATTTTCATCTGAAATTATTTCAAAATCTGTATCTCCTGCCAGACTGCATTTTGGAACTCCAGACCCAAATGCCTAGTTGTCAACTGGAAGTCTCTATCTGGATATCTCACAGGTACTTTGATCTGAATGAAACTCCCATTCCTCATACTTGAAATATTTCTTATCCCAGTTCAAGGCATCAGCATCTTCTCCACTGCCCAAACCTGCAACCACTCTCTTTAACCCTAACATCTGGTCACAAAGCGCTACTAATTTTACAAAGCGCTACTAATTTTACCTCCTAAATATACTTTCATGTCTCATCCTGCCTCTAGGTTTACCTACCTCCAAAAACAAGTCTGATCATGTCAGGACTCCCCTTCCTAACCTCCAATGGGAAATTCCCAACTCAGGATGTCCCATTGTTCTGAGGATATAGTGCAAACCCTTTAACATGTCTTACAAGGCCCTCCATGATATTACATACTTAATGTTTGTATCCCTTGAAAATTCATATGTTGAAACTCTAATCCCCATCATGGCTGTATTTGTATATGGGACCTCTAAGGAAACAAGGCTAATGAGGTCATAAGGGTAGGGCCCTGATCTAACAGGATTAATGTTCTCATTAGAAGAGACACCAGAGAGTTGGCTTCTCTTTCTCTGCCACCCTCCCCTGTTCATATACTTTGAGGAAAGGTCATATGAGGACACAGCGAGAAGGTGGCCATCTATCTGCAAGCCAGGAAGAGGGCTCTCCCCAGAGACCAAATTTGCTAGCACTTTGATCATGGACTTCTAGCCTCCAAAACTGTGAGAAAATAAATTTCTATTGTTTTAAGCAGGCCAGTCTATGGTGTTTTGTTATAGCATCTTGAGCAGACTAATATGGTTGATTATTCTATTTATATTTCATCACCTTTAGGAAAGGCCGAATCATTGTTCTTATTGCTCTTTGAAAAGCATTACATTTAGTAGATGCTTAAAAAATATTGACTGAGTGATTCAAGTGGAAGCTTTTATACATAGTACTTCTTCCTAAAATACTTTCCCTTTACTCTTTAACTAGATGAGTTCTACTCATCCTTCAGGACTCAGCCTTAATATCATGTCCTCAGAATACCCCTGTCCTACCTAATCTAAATGATTAGCTCTACCCTATGATTCTCTCTTACAACACCTTTGCTCTTTTCCTTCATAGTATGTATGGTAGTTTTAATTATATATTTTTAAATATAAGTTCCACAAAAGCAGTGTCTTTGACTTACCACGATGTCCTCATCACCTAGCAGAGTGCCCTGCACAAATATAAACAATATTAAAATATTATATCTAATGATTAAATGACTTGACCACTTAATTTTATCTCTTATTGGTCATAACCTGATGTTTTTTTGATTCTTCCTTTCTGGACCTGGAGAGCATGCTGGTCTTGAAAATAAATCTTTAAGGGATTTAAAGTCAAGGCAATGTCTGAAGTGGTGAAGCTCATCAGAAAATGCATCTTGGCTGAGGTGAGTTCTGAGGTCTGCTACATGGCCTATGGCTAGGAGGGGTAGGCAGACTTCCAAAGCACAGGGAAAAAGATAAACTATAAGCAAATTAGCTTGCCTGGAGAAAAGGCTGTATAAGCTTGGTTGAAATGGTGGTGTTGGAGACAGTTGATAAGCTTTGGGTTCTAGGCTGATGACTTTAGATTTGATAAAATAGACCTAGGGAGCTGATAGTGGTGATTTAGCTAGGGAGTGACCTCATGAGAATGGAATTTGAGAAAGATTATGCTGACAGCTGAGGATTATGTGAAATGGAGGTGAGAGCAGGGGCTGGGAATGCAGCAGAGCCTACTAGGGAGTCTAGGCAGCTCTAAATTTCCATTACTCCAGGATCCTAGATGGTTGAATCTGAAAAAAGATGGACATCGAAAATAGTTCTGAGTTATTGATTTACAGTGAGAAATATTTTTATCCAATTCTTTTGCCTTAGGGCATTTGAATTCTAACTAGAAAGTTACTTGGTGAGTGTACAAACAACAAAAAGAGTCAATTGAATGATATTACTGGCTGTTATCTCTTTTTTCTCAAAAGGGACATATATGCCTGACTACTAGATAAAAAATATCTGTATCATCTGGGGAGGATATTAACCAAATAATAGATTTCTCCTTTTTCTAGGTAGACTTTCATTTTTCTCTGATTGCATAGCAATAGATTAAACACAGACTTGATTATATTCTAGTCTCGAGAATACACTACAGTTGGCTTTAATAGGCTTTGTTGTTGTTTCTTTTGTGTGTCACATATATATGATTTAGGAACTAGGTGATAAGATGGGTTTAAGATATACTGAGTTTGAAGTGCCTCAGGTGAGAAATGTCCAAATGTCAATTGAAAATGTGAAGTTTGAACAGTTTAGAAAAGAAATTGGGTCTGGAGATAAAGATTTTTCAGGTAGAACTAAATGCATTCTTTTTAGTTATATAATATTTTGTAATACCTTTATGAGAGTATTTATCATTACAGAAAAACTATTTATGTATCTCCATCCTCCATACCAGACAGTGAGCTCCTTGGAACGGCCTCTTATTCACTTTAATAACAGTACCCACAGATTGTAAGTGCTCAATTAGTTGAATAAATGAGTGAGAGTAATTTGAATAGAAGAGAGGAGGGTCAGTGGCAGAACTCCGGTGTCGTAAGAACAGCAGAGAAGGCCACATTATCTAGTCACAGAGAAGTCACTGGGGAAGCACTAGAGAGGAAGTCAGAATTCAAGAAGTAAAACAAGTTGGTGGAAAGGGAAACCAAGAAAAGAGAATCATCTTTGGTGTTAAAGGCACGCCCTAAATGCCGAGTAAAAGTCCCTGCTAAGGGTCTGAGTTTCTTTACTGAGAGTCGTGCATGCTGAGGGTGCCAGGCCAGCTCTTTCAGTGATGCCTTTTTGCTTCCATGCTCGCTTGGGGTTCCAGCCTCTCCCCGAGGGAACCTCTACCAGCTCCTATTGTCACCTTAGAGGAGAATCCTGGGTTTTAGTCCCAGGTCTGCCATGACTCCCAGTGTGACCTTGGGCAATCACCTCCTTTTCTCTAGGACTCCAAAGTCCCTTGCAGCTGTCAGGATGTCTGAGGGAATGCAGTTTGGATGACCGGTGAGGATTCTGACTTGTTCTCTGCTGCTTTTCAACTATGAATCTCTTTGCCAAACACCAGCTGTCCTGCCCTCCACTTTAGATGCTCAGGCGGAACTGCAACCCACCTGTTGTTGGGCTCCTCCCAGTGTCTTCCTCCCACGGTTCAGTTTACAGATGTGTCACTAGGTGGCACTGCCTTGGTCGCAGCACAGAAATTAACTTCATTTTGGCTGACTGTTGAGTGATTAGGCCAAACATATGTAGCACTCTCCACCTGTGCTAACCAGGAGCGGAAATGATTTAAAAGGGGTGATTTAAAATGCTCTAAGAGCCAATGATACCATGGTTCTTGAAATGTCGACTTTAGACATAGTTCTACTCCTTTTCTGCCTTTTCATTTGGTGCTCTGGGCCTTAAGGGTCACTGAGACTTCAGGTATTCATTGCTTTTTTTCTCCTTCTTAGGTGGCAAAAAAATCATAGATACAGAGGATCAGGGTAATCATGCTCCTTGATGTATAGCCTTCTTTCACTAATGGTCCATGCAAGGCCTCTCTTGTTTAATTATTTATTCATTCCCTTTGATCTCATTGCCCCATCTCATCCAAATTCCGCTCATGTTGGGCAACCATCAGGTATTTTTAATGTGTATGTTTTTGTTTGTAAGTGTTCTTGAATAATGGGTAATGCTTCTAATATACATGTAAAATTTTTTAATAATGTTTTCTTTCACTCATTTTATCCAAAAGTTATCATTTCAACATGTAATCAATATAAAACTTACTCATGAGATGTATTCCTTCTTTTTTGTCTTCAAAATCCACTGCATATCTCAATTTCCTTCTTTTTTGTCTTCAAAATCCACTGCATATCTCAATTTGGATGCTGAATGTTCATCAGGTATACTTGATCTGTATTTAGATTTTACAAAATTCACAGCATATCTCAATTTGGATGCTGAATGTTCATCAGGTATACTTGATCTGTATTTAGATTTTACAAAATTCACAGTTGAAAAAAAGTAGATTCACATACCTAAGTTGTTCCAAGTATGCTTTAAAATTTTTGAATAGCTCAATAAAGTGCCTCCAAAATCATTTTCCTTTCATATTCGCATCTAAACTGACTAAATTGTTTCATCTGTCTAGTAGAATTGATTTTACTTAGAAGTAAAAGCATATCAATTTCAAAACTACGTCCAAGTTAAATAAATTCACTAATTCTTGTGTCAACTCAGTGTTACTAACATGAAATTCAGGGAGATATTAAATAAATGGAAAAACAACTCTAAATTTATTAATACACAATAAAACATTTAAACTTTCTTGTCATTTTTGCAGCCAGTTGAAGTAATGCTGTTGATTACAATTAAAATCTGCATATTTTTATTAGAAAATATGCATTGATTTGCATCTCGAGAGGTTTCAATTTTAGCATACCTTCTTGTATCTGTCTTGTTAAGTCGCAAATAAGCATTTTCTTGCCGATGAACTTCAATTTCAGCCTTAGGGAGGCACCTCTTAGATTGCAGCTCACCTGCCCTGGGAGTTTAGGGGATGAGAGGGGAAACAACTGTTCAAGTTTGGTTGCCCACTACCTGTTTTTATCTGCTTTTCACCAACACGGAGCATCTTCAGTGCCCTGAAGTAACCCTTACCCGCACCTGGATCACCGGTCTGAGTCACACAGGTGACGGGGCATCACTGTTCTAAGACGGCGGTGCAAGAAAAGAGATGAGAATCCCAGAGCCCCTCTTCTTTTTTGTCACCCCACAGCCATTCCTGGTCACCTCCTGCCCGAAACCAAACCCGCGCCTCGACCTCACACATACACCACTTCAGAACAGGGCCCCCCCTTTACCTAAGAGGTTTCTCACAGTTTTCTTCATATGTTGGTATTTTCTCTCTATAATTCTTCCACGGTTGATCTTGGCAGAGGGAGCAGCAGTCACACTGATTCAATTAGGACTCAAGTTTAAGGCTTTTGAGCACTTGCTCTGTGCTAGACACTGTTCTAAGCACGTCACCCACATTAACTCGTTTAATCCTCACAACCGCACAATGAGGTAGTATCAGCAGCCCCATTTTACACATGGGAAAACTGAGCGAGAAAGAAGTTAACTAGCTTGCCTAATGAACTAATGGAGTCGGGACTCTAACCTAGGCAGGTGGCTCCTGTGTGGGCCCTGCGAGCCCGTGCCTTGCAGCACAGCCCGATTTACCCAGTGCCCTCTATGGACAGATTAGTGTGTGTTGGTCAGGGCGTTGCCCCGTGGTGTCTAGTTTATGAGACACTGGCCAGAAGAGAGGAGGGAGGGTGACAAGGACAAGGCATAACCGGCCAGGCCCACTGTCAGCAGCATTTGATCCCAGGCAGAAGACTCTACCGGCCACCTCTCAGGGCAGGACACAGGCTCTGCGTGGTTAGAGGAGAAGGAAGGAGGATGGGCGAGCGTGCGGAAGCCCAGCCCAGATGAGAGCTGACGTCATTTCTCCTCTGTGCGTTTGCCTTCGAATTTGATGTGTGGTATAAACTGGTTGGTGTAAAATTCTGGCCTTCGTTTTCCTTGCACTAAGTTTGAAGTCCTTCCCACGGGAACATTTGAGTGGGCTGGAGCCAACCCTGGCTCCGGAACCACAAGATGCCTCCCGGGCAGTTGCAAGGCTGCCAATACCTGCTACTATACTGGCTTCTTCACACTTGTGCCTCTTTCTTTCTCTCTTCCTTGCCTTTGCTCTGGTTGGTCAACACGTATTGGGGGGTAAGAACTGGTCATAGGCTCTGGGAAGGATACTCTAGGTGTTTAAGATTTGAAGATGAAAGTCAGAGACCAGGAAGCAGAATGAGGACCGTGAGAAAGTGAAACCGCTCACTCCAGCTACTGGGCTCTTACAGACTGTGAGCATCCTGAGTTTGAGTCATGACAAGGTTAGTGTTGGGTGTCTTGGTTCTTGGCACAGGGCTCTTTCCCAGAAAGAGCCGTTCTCCTCTAGTGACTTCTGAAGTGCCAGACACCTTTTTAGCTGGAGCTGCTTAAAGAGGACTAGAACCTGATTCGAGGGGCATCGCCTCCACCACTGGGGTGAGGCAGGGGCGCTAAGGTTTCAGGCTGGCAGACTCATCTGCTTGTTGCTGACAGTGGGCTGCCTGTCTCCAAGGACTTGCTACATTGCTTTCTGAGCCACAGATATTTCACACAATGGATACCCAGCTGCAGCCCTTCCCCCTACCCATTCCTTTCCACCTCTGCCTCATCCCTAAACCTACACCTTACGCTCTCTCGTTAGCATTTTTGCCCCTCCCTCATGTGGGCCCCTCTCCTGGATTTTTTTTCTGGGAAATCTGAGAACCCTGAGGATATCTCTAGCTTCATTTGCCTGGGGAAGTAAAGAGAAATGAACGGCTATGAAGGTTTTCTATGTGCCAGAGATGGTTCGTGGTGCCTTACTGACATTATTTCATACAAATCTCACAACGTGAGAATGAAATGTGTACTGTTGAGGGTCCTGAGGGGACTGGGCCCCAGATTAGGACATGATGGCATAGCAGGATTCAGACCTATGCTTGTCTGCCTCTGAAGCCCACACCCTTTCTGTGTTTCCGAAGCCCCCGGAGCCCCATTCAGCCTTCCTGGCTCTGTGTGTGTGTGTGTGTGTGTGTGTGTGTGTGTGTGAGAAAGAGAGAGAGAGAGATAGAGAGAGAGAGAGAGAGAGAGAGAGGGAGGGAGAAAGGAGAGGGGAAAGAAAGAAAAAGAAAAAGAAGAGGGAGACGAAAGGAAAGGGAAGGACAACCTTCCAGTTCGCTGTCTTTTGAAGATCACACTTATTCCTGGAATGATTAGAATAACTTTTTTTTTTTTTTTAACAGCAAGGAGACATATGAGAGCATCTCATTCAGTGGTTATTTTAAAACTTTTAAACCATGGAACCAGTTCTTAGAAAATGATCGTGGAATGCCTAGTACATAAAGCACATAGGAGAGGTGTTGATTGATGTGGCAGGGGGCAGGGGAGCTCCAAGATCTGGCTTCTCTGTGTCCCTTGAGCTGGAAGGAAGTCAAGGAGCCTTGGGTGTCTGCTGAACACCGTTTGAAAGCTCCTGATTATCTCTCATTTTAGAGATAAGCAAGCTGAGGCCCAGGGTAGGGAAGTGGCTGGCAAAGTCAGAATTAGTGTCTGGGTCATACATCTTCTGGCCTGTAGCTTTCTGTCAAACCCACAGGACACCTGGTCCAGGAAGGGGGTGCAGGTGGGAATAGAGGGGAGGGAGAGGCTCGGCTTCCTCTTTCTTCTTCCTCGTCACCAACAACCTGAGCTCCCAAACCTTCTAGGGAATAAAGTATTCAGGGAGCAGACAGACAGGGCAAGAGAAGGATGCAAGCAGAGGCATGCAGGAGCAGGTGACAAGATATCAGAAGGAAGAGAGATGGGAGGCAGAAGTGGGGAAGAGGTGAGGGCCAAGGAGCAAAGGAGCCTCCAGGCCAGCCCAGGACCGGAGCTAGCCTAGGTTCTGGGCTCTGGTCTTGCTTTAGTATTCCCTCAGGCAAGTACTTGCCCCTTTTTCTGCCTCAGTTTCCTTTAAAGCCTTCTCCGCTCACAAGCAGTGACAGCATGTAGGCTACAGGAGGGGCAAGATGGTACCAGAGCACTGCACACAGGGCCAGAATTAGCTGCTCGACTCTGGCTGTAAATAGCTGATGTCTTGAGGCAGCTCCAAAGCCTCCCTGGGCCTTATTCTTCACCTACAAAACCAGATGGGATGGGGCGATCTCTAAGGGCCCTTTGGGATCAGAAGGATCTGGGACATGGAGCCTGTACTGAGGGAGCCTGAAAACAGGCAGATGTGGGCTCCAGGGCATCTGCAATTGCAGGTTTAGGAGCTGAAAGGGACCAGGCATTATGTAGTCTAGCAATCTGGTTTTATAAGTGAGGCAACTGGGCCTGGAAAGGCAATGTGACTTTTCTGCCTCTCAGCATTATCTCTCCTTTTCCTCTGAACTATCCAGTCTCAGGATTCAAAGCAATCCTATGCAGCAGATAAGCTTGTTGATGTTTTTCTGAACATTTTATTGACTTCCAACATTTTTTTCAAAACAGCACATGCTCATTATAAAAATTTCCATTAATACAGGAAGTGAAAAAGTAAAAAAACATATTGCTGTTATCGTCCCGTCCTCACCCCCCTAGGTCTCCAGGGGTGTCTCCTGTTAACTGTTTAGTGTGTATTCATCTTGACCTTTCCGATGAGCATACAAACATGGGCCCCCTCCATAAATGGGATTATACTATCAAATTTTCAAGAGTAAACTTTAGAATCAGATACTCCTGGGTTCTAATATAGTTTATAGCTAGTTAGCCCAGTGAACTTTTTACTTGTTACCGTTTTTAGTTTCAATCTCCCATGTGTAAGATGGGAGTGATGATAATATCTACCTTATAGGATCGTGGGGTGAGGATTTAGTGAGATTTTTATATGACTAGTACTGAATAGTGCCTGGTACACACACACACACACACACACACACACACACACACACACACACACGTTCAGGGGGCACAGACCGAGTTAGCGGTATTGTAAAGACGAGACCCAGTTTTCTGACATTTGGTTTCATCACCTTTCAGCCACACCTGTCTGCCTCTCATCCTGATCCCCTGGGCACATGTTATGTGCTCAGTCTTTGTTGAATGAATGAATGAGGTTGGTGGGGGTGATAGATCTAGGGGTCTGAGGTCTGTGGAGTTCCTAGGTGCCTGCTCTGGAAGATGCAGGGTTCACCCTGCGGATTGGGAGGGGGTGGGACAGTGTGTGTTGGCTGGACCAGCTGTTGCTTCAGGGCTCCAGGCCTGAGAGTTGAGCCTCAGGGCAGAGCCGAGGCCCCAGAGTGGCTCTCAGCTTAAAGGATCTTAACTTAAAAGGAATGTGCAGTGGGCTGCCTCTGCTCAGGAGGGGCTAAAAAAAGCCTGACCCTCCCCTGGGCTTTGTGTGAGGGTTATCAACTGCTCAAGCCAGCTCATCTCTCTGGCTGGACGCTGGCATTTTTGAGAGGGCCTGTTTTCCCTGCCCCTCTGGGTTTTCACCAATTGGCAGGAAGGGGTCAGCCTGTCCCAGAGGTGGAGGCTGTGAGAGTGTGAGGTCTGGGGGGAGCGGGCGGGGGCTGGTAGCCCCAAACCTGGTGACAATACACAGTTGTCAGCTGTCCCCTGCTGGTGTTTCTTCCTTTTATAGTCAGCAACAGTTGCTCTTGCTCTCACCCAGCCCCTCTCTGGGGGCTCCTGCCCAGAATAAAAGGGGAGAGAGGCGGCCCAGTCGGCTATCTCGTTTTCCAGGCTCCCCATCTCTTGATTCCTTCCTAGGTCCCACCACCACCAAAGATCTCAACAAGGCGACATGCCCCCCAAGAAGCCTGAGCCTAAGAAGGAAGCGGCCAAGGCAGCCCCTGCTCCGCCCCCAGCCCCTGCCCCAGCTCCTGAGCCCCCCAAGGAACCTGCCTTTGACCCTAAGAGTATAAAGGTGAGTGAGCCTCAGCCTTTGGGAATTAGGTGGAGATGACATTCAAGAACGTATTTGCCTGGAGCTTAAGGATCTACTTCAAGGAGGCTGGGCTGGGGTGAGGGCTACAGTGTCCATGCCCCCAAATGCAGCCCCACAGGGCGGTGGAGCAGGCGTTGGGGCTGGGGAGGGGTGTTTTGGGTTGTAGGCCTTTCTCCTTGAGATCAGGTTTCTGCTCTGTCTAAGGAAACCCTGCTCTGTCACCCCAAACTTATGAAGCAAAGTTGGGAATGGCAGGGAGGTGCAACCAACCAATGATCCTGCCTTTTAAAGGCACAGTGGGGCCACCATGGTGAAGTAAAAGAGACTGACTCTTTCCTTGGGGATAGTATGATGTCTTTAAGGAGAAAACACACAATGATAACTGCCATGTAACTTGGAGTAAGTGATGTACAAGCGAGGGAGTGTGGTCCCTGTGCCTGGGGGGCGCTTCACTCTCAAAGACCCTTGTAGTAGGTGGGGGTTGGGGGGAAGGGGAGGGCTCTAGATACAGCAAGGGGAGCCTGGTTCCCTTTCCTTTTTCCTACCCAGATAGGCCCCTCCTTTTGTGGCCTCAGCCTGTCCTATCTGGAGTATGCAGAGGACAGGCCCATCCCCGCTGAGACCCTCTCTCTAACCTGGTGCGGGAGCCGGTCCTGGTTTCCTCTGGTGCCCCAGCCCTACTTCCTCTACTCTGCCCTGCTTCCCTCACACTGGAAGGTTCCTCTTTCTGGAGCTGATGTAGGCCTCGCATGCTGACTCAGCCATTTTAGGCCTCCCAGCTTTCTGGCCCAGCTGTGGAAGGAATGGAACTGGGAGGGGTTGGGCCAAGGAAGGAGCAGGTCAGAGGCCTCTGGAGAGTGAAGCAATTTTAAGCCTTGGCACCAGAATGTAAGAGGTCAAGTGGCCACTGGTACGAAGAGCTATTAATAACAAACTGGGAGTGGTGGGCCACTGGGAATATCAGCCTTAGGTCAGGGCTGGGGGTGCTGAGGAATCAGAGCAAAATAAGAGCTTGGGACCAGGTTCTGTGACAAATAGGCAGGAAACTGAAACCCTGAGCTCTCATCGGACAACCCTCCGTGGCCTTCTGAGGATTCCTCCCAGCACCCACAGTCCCAGAGCCCCTGTAGTTGTGCCAAGGACCCTGAGGTTGATCTGTGGTAATCCTGCAAGAGGCAGGAATTAAGTGGAACTGGCTTGGCCAAGAGATGGAGGCGGTTGCCCCATCCCTGGGTTTGGTTATAGCACACTGGTCCTTGGTGTCTGGGTAACAGTCACGTAGTAGTACTAGACGAGCGCCTTCTCCTGAGCCTATCACTTTCCTCCATCTACCCCCCTTCCTAAATTTCTCCCCTGCTAGTTTCAATTCTCTTATCCACTTCTGGATCTTCCAGTCTTATGGGTTGTTGAAGGTGCTTTAAACTGGAAAAAAAAAAAAAAATAGATGTCTTCCATGAAGGCCGTTTTCCTTATTATTTATACTTAACCCAGTTCCTTTGCTTAGAAGATTCTTTGCTAAAAGATAGGGCAAAAGTAAATTTAACCACAATATGTGTGGTTCTGACCATATATTCCGATGTTATATTTTTAGACTAATTACACACATACCCCTGGGACTTAAAGCGTTGCAAAAAAAAAAAAAAAAAAGGCAAACTGCACCTCTTCCTCAGAGAGTTTGTGCAAAGCATCCTTTGGCCTATTTAAGGGGTTCCTTTAAATTCCTGACCACCCCACTACCTCCCCTTTGGCAGAGTCCATCCCTGGACATAGCCAGTTCCCTTCCCAACCTGGTGTAACCCCCCTCCCGCTCTCCTAGCTCATTCCAGCCACCTCTAGGGGGTCCTCATTAATGGAGGTCAGCCTACAGTGGGCACAGCATAGCTCAGAGTTAGGACTAGGTATGGTGGGCCACAAAGAAGTTGCTCCAGGATTGGTTACCACCACTAGTGGAGAGGAGATCTGGGGAGAGGGTAGACAAGGACAATGACGTAACATATAGCTCCTAAATGAAGATATCTCATGCTCGGTCATTGTCATTCATTTTCAGAGCCTCCTACCTTCCTCTTATATACTCAGATTTGAATTATTATGCGTTGTGGTCGGGGAGGTGAGAGAAATCCAAAACTTATTCCTTTGCTCAATAAATATTTTTCGAGTGTCTATTCTATGCCATGCATTTCCTTGAACAATAAAAATTCTGCAGGAACCCTGCTTCAAGGAGTTGGGATACATATATAGGCATGACTGGAAAACAGGGAACGTTGAGGGTCCACTCAACTACTCTTGCTGTCCCAGAGTGCCACAGAGGGACATGTGCCAAGGAGGCATTGGGATGGGATGGCGTGAGAGGAAGCTTCACTGGAGGAGGTGATTTAAGGCCAACATGAGGTAGAAAAGGGAGGTCAAAGATGAGGAGTCAGGGACACCCAAAGGGAGAGGAAATGTGGCTTTTGGGACAATTTGTGGAGTAGGGAGAATCTGAAGGGATGAAAGTGAGGGCAGCTTATGGCCGCTAGGACAGGGAATTTACATTTGGCCCAAAGGAATTATAATAGGGAATCAATGTGGTTCTAGAGTTATCTGGGTACGTTTGCTCTCTTACTTGGAGCCATCACTTAACAAGTGTTATGTAGAGAGCTCTGAAGGCTGCGTCCTTTCACAGCCTGCCAGTTCATCAGGAGACATGTTCCACTCAGAGCCGTCAGTCTCCTTCCCTCCTCAGTGGCCTGGTGGAGTTGACCTGACCGCAGCGGAAGCCATTTTTGCTTTCATTTGGAGGCCTTCAGCAGTCTCACTGCTCTGTTTCCCTCCCCACAGATAGACTTCTCTGCCGACCAGATCGAAGGTGAGTACTGACAGCTCCCCATCCACACCCTCTCTGTTGCACTTCCTGGAGGAGGAGAAGGAGTTGTCATCACAGTAATAGTAATCCTCATCATTATCGTAGCAAACTTACATTTGCTACAGATTTGCTATTTGCTCACTTTTACCTATTACTTGTTACTACTTAAGCATGATTTAATTTATTTAGTTCTCACAACAACCCTGTGAGGTAGGGACTATTATCACAATTTACAGGTGATAAAAACTGAGGCACAGAGAGACTGGGTGGCTGGCAGGCAGTTGGTGGTGGAGCCAGGATTCACACTCAGGCATTCTGATTCCAGACGTGAGTTCTCAACTACTCTGACAGGCTGCTGGGAACATAATAGATGCACAGCAAAAACCACTCCCCGTCCGCCCCTCCCTGCCCCGCCAACATGTACTATCCAAAATGTTTAGAAGCCCTCCTTTCTGTTCCTGTTATTGGAAAGCCCTTCTTAGGTTATCAGCTTCCTCCCCCGTTGTCCTGAAGTCTGCCAGGATGCTCACCCACTAATGGTGGCAGGGCCAATGGTGACTTAGGGTGCCCTAGTCCATCTGTGATCTCCATCAGTAACCTTTCTCTATCTTTGACGAGACAGTTTATTTTCTCAATCTTATATAAAGTTTTATTTAGTGTGGCTTCAAGAAAAGCCTCATGATCTCTCACCCACTAACTAGGTGGTTGCCCCTTAGCCCTTCTTCTGTAGGAGTCTGGTGTTTTGAGAATGAAATGTTTCATCGCATGATATCTACTTTACAGTGGGGGCTCACTGTCATTGCAACTTATCCCTCTGTTTCCCCCACCAAATGCCTCCAGGACATAAAATTATAGGCATTGGAAGGGACCTCGAAAGGCCACTTGACTCAATCCCTTGATTTAAAGCATACACTATATTTAAAAAATTAGACTAATACATGAACATGGTAAAAATATCATATACTACTAAAAAAAAAATGAAAAATAAAAATATTTTCCCTCTCTTTCCTTTCATGCTGATTCCTCTCCCAAAGACAACCACCATTAATAGGTCTATGTATCCTTTGAAAAAAATATATAGTGATATACTAGTATGTATGTATGTATAACTCTTACACAGATCAAATCATGTGATACATACTGTTCCATACCTTTTATTTCATATATATTTGGATTTAATAATATATATTATTTAATAATATATTTTTACAGCTAACATTAACAGTTCTACTTTTTTGTTTCTTTTTTTATTTTTAATTTTCAATTAAAAATTAATTAATTTTTAATTTTAAATTAATTAATTAATTTTCAATTAATTTTCAATTAATATTATTTTATATTAGTGTACAGCATAGTGGTTAGACATTTATATAATTTATGAAGTAATCCCTCTAATTACTCTACTACCCACCTGGTTATATGATAACCATACATAGTTCTTACAATAGTGTAGTCATTACAATATTATTGAGTATATTCCCTATGCTGTACTTCACATCTCTGTGACTATTTTGTAACTACCAATTTGTACTTCTTAATCCCTTCACCATTTTCACCCAGCCCCACAATCCCCTCCCATCTGGCAATCACCAGTTTGCTCTCTATCTATGAGTCCAAACAGTTCTACTTTTTAATTCTTTTAAGCAATTGTATAGATTCTCACACATGGACAGAAGTTTTAATTTAATCAGAACTATATTGATAGACCTGTGGGTTGTTTCCAGTTGGGGAATATCAGCATACTTTCTCCAGGCACCACCCTAGAAGTGGGTCAGAGGATACATGCATTTTAAATCGTAATAGTTATTGCCAAATTGCTCGCCAAAAAGCTGACACCAGTTTACCCACACATAGATCATGAGAGCTGTCAGATGAATTTTGAAACTAATGAATTGAATCTGACTCTGTTTTTGCACCCTGTGGATGCTCACTTTCAGTTAATAGTTTGGGGTGCTGTGAAGTTCTTAAAATTAATTTTAAGGAATTTTAGTTAAATATATACTTTTGTGTATAAACAAACATAGCAGCACACAGGAGGACCAGAAAATCAACTAATGATGGAAATATTTTATTTCTCAAATGGGAATCATGGTCTTAGCCAATTGAGACAGCCAGTTGCCTCTTTTCTCCACGAAGATTTTCAGGGCTGGGGGCCTAACTCATTTCAGTCTTTCAACCCTCTCTGACTTTGAAGATATTCTTCCTTAAGTTGGATCTGAATTGTTTCCGATTTAATTTTATCCCTCCTATCTCTTCATTTGCTCTTTGGCAAAGCTCAAGATGATTTTCTTATGTCATGTTGGAAAGAACATTTTTTGGAATCAGGAGACTTTCGTAGTAGCCCTCATTCTGCCACTATTGGTCATGAGACTTTGAGCAAGTCACTTCTTTAAACCTTAATTTTCTTGTCTGCTAAGTGAGGTTCTTTTCAATTCTGTAACTCTATTTGACATCATCTAGATACCCTCCACATATTCGAAAATAGTTATTAAATCTCTTTGTAGTTTATATTCTCCTGGTGATATGGCACAAATTTCTTTTATGATTTTTTTTTTTTTTCCTCATAGGATCTAGCTTCTATCCCTTGACTTCCTTCTCTGGTCCCTCTCTAGGTTTCCATGTCCTTCTAGGAAAGGGTGACCGCCATTACTCATTGCTCTAGCAAGCAGCCGACTACTACAGGCCATTGAGGAAAGGTTTCTTCTGGGCCCATAAGCATCACTTCTCATACACCTCAGGATCACACTGGCTTGATTTTTTTTTTTTTTCTCTGTAGCAATCCTAAACTTTAGTGTTAAATCTGACTTTTATTAAATCTTCTGAATGACTGAGAAAATTAACAAGTCTGAGTTCAAGCAACAAATATATATATATTTATCGAGTACTGAATTTGGGCCAGAAGCTATACTAGTTTCTTTATAAGTTAAAAAAAAAAAAGAGTTAAATCTTTTTAACGAAGCCATGAGGTCAGTATTATTTCCTTTTTATAGAGGAGGAAATCAAGGTTTATCAAGGTTAGGAAACATGACCAATGTCACTCAGTTAAGTGGTAAAATTGGGATTAAACTCAGTAAGGTAATACTAACAGCATTATTTGAGCATTTATGCAGTTCATTGTGTTAAGATTTTTTACATAAATTATTATGTTTAATTTGAATGTAATTTAAGAACCCTGTGAGGTAGGTGCCATTTACAGAAGAGAAGAGGTTTATAGATGTTAAATATTTACTTGCCAAAGGTCATGCAGCTAGTAAACAATGAAAATGGAATTTGAACTCAATTATTCAGTAATGTGAAAGACAAATGGTTTTGTATCTTTAAATTCATGTGATGCCTAATAAAGAGTTGCAAGTAAAAGTCTTGGGGAATCCGCTTTGGCATGTGGAATGATTTGTAAATAACCCATATGCAGCCTCTAAGGAAATAGTCGTTTCTGAAGTACTTGGAGAGGACGCAGAAGGGCTTTTCTCCTAAGCAGTTTACACATTCTTTGGTTTATGTCGTTAATCTGCTTAGTAAACCATTTCTTTGTGGACAGCATAAGGTAACATCAATGCATTCGCAGTTTAATTGTCCCCAGTAATAAATTGCTTGAATCCAAATTAGTAAGGGATTAAGGTTCTTTGTAAGGGCCCGGGAGGACCTTAATTCAGCCTTGCGCCTTGGACACCTGTCCCGGTCTCTTTGGGGAGTCTAGTCCCTATAGATCTGAGCTGGCGGGAGAACCAGAACACACAGTAATAGCCACCGTTTGTAATCCCCCCAGCAACCCGGTCAGGGACGTTATAGCCTCACTTAGAGCTAAGAAAAGGAGACGCCGCGAAGGTTAGTAGTTTGCCCAAGGCCATGCGCGGGTCGGTGGCATGGTGGGGTTATCTGACTGTTTCCACCAGGTCACTTTGTCTAGCCTGGGAGCCACCCCCCCACCCACTTCCCGTCAGCCTGGAGCAGGCAGTACTGGTAGGAGCTGACTTTCTAACAAGTCTTATCGCTTTTGCAGAGTGCTTCCGCCTCCTGCCCCTCCTTTGAGGAGTTCCAGTAACTGGGAGGGCCGGGATCGGGGTGGGGGTAG